AATTTCGAAATTGTTATTTTTTAGCAACCAAAATCCGTCGTTTAACAGATGTACATCCCTAATTTTCTGCGGTTTCTTTAAATCGAAAGAAATGATTGCATTTTATTGATTGTCTTTGGTTTTCTTTTAAGAAATAAAAAGAAATTGCAACACATTTGAAGGCTTGATGGAAAGATGGGGTCTGTCATTGACATTTCCACCTCATTTTCATTATTCTGCCTCTATCTTGGTTGCCGCCAGTCTGCCTCCTTTCTGTCGCCGTCGTCTTATTTCTTTTTTGTACTTGTGGTACACACAAACATACCAAACCAAAGCAAAGAAAATAAAACTGCATACATACTTGTTTATGTCTTATTGACATTTATCACAGATTCCGATTTGTTTGTTTTAAATAACTGTAATCTATTCTGTTTGTCGGATTTTTTGGCAAAGAATTTTAAAGTTGCCTTATTCACTTGAACACGTAGACAAATTTCCAACTGAATTATTATAAAAAAAAAACAAAAACCCTTTAAAAATATAAAGTTTGATTTATTTCCAGCAAAACAAACGTTTTTATTTCGCGACCATTTATTGTGAACTAATATTGAATGAAATTCAAATTTAATAATAGTGTTAATTATATACTCCTATTCGTGTTTTGCCATGTGATTCTTCCATAATAATAATTACTGAACTGCATTTTTTGTGATCACAGATCTGACATAATTTTAAATGTAAACACGCTGGAAAAAAATGTTGTCATTTTAATTTCTATGCTCCATTTGTGGCTGCTACTGATATTTCATTGAGATTTTTTTAGTAGTACATGTAATGAAGTTTGTGGAATCGCTCATGGTCAGGTCATGATCAGGATAAAATTTTAAGACGCCCGTCTGCCCGTCCGTACGTGTATTGTAATCACGCTATCTTCTGAAGGAATTGAGATAGGGTGTTGAATTTTTTGCATAGGGTTGTTTTTTGTCTGCAGGCAGATCAAGTTCGAATATCGGCTATATCGGTCTACATTTAGGCGTAGCCCCCCTCATCAGGGTATCCCCAATTTTCGGTATTTAGTGGTTCTTGAGCGCCTTTTGGGTACTCCACTAAAAATTATAAATATAGATGCATTTTTTCGGGTAGCCCCCATATAAGGGCATCCCCAAATTTCGGTATTTTGGGGTTCATGGGCGCATTTTTCAACTCAATTCGCTGTAATTTGGTACGTAGAGTTCTTATTGGTGGATAAATTCACTAAAAATTATAAATATCGGTTCACTTTTTCTGGTAGTCCCTATATAACGGTACCTCCAATTTTTGATATTGTGGGGTTCCTGAGCGCGCTTTTCAACCCAATTCACCGCAAATTGGTATTTTATGTTGTTATTGTCTAACCAAAAAAAATTATAAATATCGGTCCACTTTTTCTGGTAGCCCCCATATAACAGTACCTCCGATTTTCGATATTGTGGTGTTCTTGCGCACGTTTTTCAATAGAATTCGCTGTAATTCTATACTTTGTGTTCTTATTGGATATCAAACCTCTCCATTAAAAATTATAAAGATATGTCCAGATATGTACCGGTAACCCCATATAACGGTACCCCCAAAATTTCAGTATTTTGAGAATTTTGTACCGGATATTCAATCAAATTCGCTGTAATTTCATATTTTGTAGTCGTATTTGGTATAAAATCTCCCTCTAAAATGATTTATCCTTCCATCGGATTTGTGGCCTTACCCTTCTGCGTGAACCATCACTTGGCTCGCTTTTATATGCATTTTGAGCTGGGACATCTTCATCCATTCTCACAAGATGGCCCAGCCAACGTAGTCGCTGCAGCTCGATCCGTCTGATTATGTCGATGCCCGAGAATAGATGGTATAGCTCATGGTTCATTCCACGGCGATATTAACCATCGACGCAGATCGTCCAATAGATCTTCCAGAAAATTTTTCTTTCAAACACTCCAAGAGATACCTCATCTGCTTGCGCAAGTACCCATACTTCAGATCCATACAACAGCACGGGTAATATCTGCGTCTTGTAGAGTGTGAGTTTGATCTGGCGAGAGGTGACCTTGCTTTTGAGTTGCTTATTCAGACCATAGTAGCATCTGTTGGCCAACACTATTTTCCTTCGGATATCAAAGCTGATGTTATTAGTTTTGTTTATGTCGGTACCGAGGTACATAAAATCGTTAACTACATCGAAGCCGTAGTTTTCAAATTCCACAGTTGGTCCGAGTCTACTGGACGTCTTGCGCGTTTGTACCATCATCTTGTTCTTCTCGCCATTTACTGCCAGTCCCACTTTGACATACTCCTCAATTCGTTCAAGGTGGCTGTTACCACTCGTAATGTTCGACCCATTATGTTAATGTCATCGGCGTAGCCGAGTAACATATGCTGTTTGGTGTATAGAGTGCCAGTTCTGTTCACATTTGCATCTCCGATGACCTTTTCAAGCAGGATGTTGAACAGGTCACACGACAAACTGTCACCTTGTCTGAATCCTCGTTCGGTCATTTCCTACTTTAACTGCAGACATTGTACCGGTTAAAGTTAACCTGCATAGCCGTATTAATTTTGCAGGAATGCCAAATGCAGAGATGGCTTTAAACACCTCTGAACGGATAGGGCTGTCGAATGCGATTTAATAGTCGACGTATAGGTGGAACGTGTCGATGTGTTTTTCGTTGGGGTTTTTTCCAGGATCTGAATGGTACCTTACCGGCTGAAAATTCACCCCAGGGAAATGTAGAGCCAGGGTTCTCGTAGCTTTGATTTTTTTATTTCCTGGTTTTCGATATGGTTGTTGTTCCTGTTAACCCAATTAGGGCAAATCGAGTTGTTTCGGATCTTTTTTTACTTTGATTAGTATTCACAAATCTTGTATCTCTATGTTAATATGGATTGTTTATGTCAAGCGATTAGTTTCGAATACTACCATTTCTTATTTTTGTAGTATTCAAAATGTTTGAGTCGGTATATTTTTATAATATTACCACATTCTATTCCCCTATCAAAATAAAATTTATTTCCACAATTTTTCCCTACGATAGATGCCGCAGTATAGGGAACAAAAATGCCCTTATTTAGTGTTATGATTAATATGAAATATCTAACCAGCACCCCTGCCTTCGTCCGACACACCCTCCCATTATTTAATTCATTGCTCTTCACAGTCTACCCTCATAAAATATACCGAACAGAACGAACTGAACAACAGCACCCCAAGTAGTCATGTGGATTTGTCATTAAATAGTTTCAGTATTGCATCACAAAACCAGATGATGATTTGTTTATATTTTCTATTAGCGTTTCCATAGCCAGAGAATTGTTGAATAAAATAGAGATTGTGATGGAGATGATGATGCATTGCTAAATTCTGCAGCAACAGTGTTTTGGGATTCTATGGATATTAAGCTCTTTTTTGTGTTTAAAAACGTGTGGAGCTTTATGTCAGAGCGCAGGTCTGATGAGAGAAAAACATCAACCCTTCATGGAACAAAAGAGAGCAGCTGAGTTCCGCATATTTTTTATAGTAAAATCAATGGTTTGTGCGGCTAACATGAATTGATTGTTGGGTTCTTTTTTTGGTTTCATTTTTTCTTCTGTTCTACGAATGCCAGTAGAAAATGAAATGTCAAATTTTTGTCACAAGGAAATACTACAAGTATGAGTGGGGTTTGATTGTGTTTTCTCCAAATTCTGGGGGTTGCTGCCAATAAGTCTCCACATGACAAAGCGGTGACGACGGCGGCATACTCTTTTAATGCAGATTCCAGCTTTGCGCATTATTCTATATCCAAGTGGCAATGGTTGGATGGTTACGACGACCGGGCCAAGGGGTCAACACTATAGTCTTCCTTGTCTAGCAATCGTTAAATTGAATCGCAATTACGAAAGGACTTGTGTAGATACAATTCGTATAAATTTTCTTCGTAGTTGTCGATTGCAAATACAATTGAATCCGAGCCCCATGCCGCAGCTGCTGATGATGATTTCAGTTACACTTCGAGGCATTAACGTGTGATACACAATCAGCACAATCGTGTTTTACGGCTTTTTTAAAAATAATTTTTTTAGTGGGGACACACACAATATTGCGTTGTGTAATTTGTTATCGGGTTTGTTTTTTTCAAAATTGCAATTGTTTTAAATTGCAGGAACGGAATGAAGTGTCAGTAAAGTGTGAAAAATATTTAAGAAGAAAATCCATATATTTTATTAAGATTTTTATGTGAATCTGAAGAAAGAAGAAGAATAAAGTATATACCTACAAAAATATATACTGTATGTCTACGATTTAGATATTGACAACAAACGAATAGGCCCCCAAATCAAATCAAAGCCTACAACAAAATCTTATCGACATCTCAATTTTTCTTGGGCTTAAAAAAAGAAAATTGAGAATAAAAAAATTATTGTTTTAAACAAAAGTTAAATAAATTAAAAAAACAACAGCAAAAATGGTGGATACTGTGGAAGAATCAGCACAAAATGGTGTTTACAAAAAACGTCCCTTCATGTGTTCCTTATTAGATCCCAGTAAGTTTAGCATAAAAAAATACAATACACATATATTTTTATTTTCTCTCATAACCTACCTCTCTCTCGTTTTCCTTCCTACTGCCTTCCTTATGCTAATTGTAGTTATTTTCCACCTTACCTTCTTAATCCATCCTCACCCTATACGGCCGACCACCAAATTCCGATATGCTTCCTGTAATTTGAGTCATTTTTCTTTTTGGGTGTTAGCCTTAATATGTAAAATTTGTTGTAATTTCTTTCAATGTGTGTGTGTGTGCGTGTTTGGTCCTTCGACATCATTAAATTTATTGTAATTTTGTTTAACGCTTTCTTTATTTTTCAGTTTATTCTTTTTTGCTTATTTCACATCTTTTGGTTTGGTTTTTTGTCGCTTGTTGCCTAAAAATGTTTCGTTTCGTTTTTGTGCGCTTTCTACATTTATTTTCTTTTTCCTAAAAAAATAATCAATATCCACCTAATTTCAGACGCTTGGTTTAAGCCGGAGCGCTTACATCCACGAGGTAAGTGTATTAATGTCTTATTGGTGTTGTTGTTGTCGTCTTTTCTGACGTCTATGTCTAATGTACACGCCTATATGTCTATATATACACACGTACACGAAACAACATGCATATAATATTAGCTAGCAGATGACTAAACTTTTTTGCCAAGATTGAGGCAACTCAATTAAGTTTTTGTCTAGTGGTGTCCGTCGTCATCGCCGTCTACTCCCCACTGCTGCACCACTAATCGTTTTCGTTTTTCTTGCCATGCATTTGGTTGTTGTTCTTTAGTTCAATGACCACTTTAAGTTTTGTCTTGGTTTTATTATTCGATTTGAAATAATTCGATAATAACTTACGAATGGTAATGAGGTTATCCTGTGATGGGCAACCTGAGCTCGTATTTATGTATTTGCGGAATAGATACTTTGGCTCGCAAAAATTACGCTCAAAGAAAAACATGATTTAATTAGGCGTACTATATAATATGTTTAATATATATAATATATTACATTTCGGGTTAATTATTTTCTAGTCAAATCTGCAAATTGGTTCTCAAAGTTCGTTCATCTATTATATGATTTGGTATGGAGATACTATGAATCTTACTGAGATTATTGTGTGTGGTGAATTGTATAAATATATCGCGTCGAAAATAAATCCAATGAAAATACAATTTAATAATTTTTGCTAGACTATTAAAACATTTAGATAATAAAATAAACCGATATATTTTTGATATATTTAACGACTATTTAACGACTTATAGAAATTAATTTCGCCGATCCCTTGACTTTTTCATGTCTTTGTGCATATGTTTGTAACGAGATAGACCCATGGTTCCTGGTTGGCGCAGCGTACTGAATGGAGTCTAAAAGAATGTGTGCTAAATTTCGTGAAAATCGCCTCAGATTTTGATATAACTCCCATAAATTTGCCCACATATTTAAGTTCGTTAAATTCCATATCAATGTTCCTTTGAAAAGGCGACGTCTGTTAGGATACATATGTAGAATATACCCAATGTGGTGAAGGGTATAATATAGTCGGCCCAGTTCGACTTTACTACTTTCCTTACTGGTTTTATAATCGTTTTCGACTGTCGGTCTATTTTCTGAAATTGACTCAACTTTGAAGAACCCTCTTTTGGAAAATATATGCCTAATGTAACGGTATCATCGAATTTTTTGTATACCCTCCGCCATAAGCTAGAGCTGTAATGCCAGGTACATCAAAGAAAACGAGAAGCATATTAAGAATTGTCGAAAAGAACACAAAACCTATCAGTTTCAAACCGAATATATATTTTTTTGCGAAGCCTATGATTTGCCTTACCTTTGACATATAAAGAACACATTTGGTGTTGATACCTACTAGTTCGCTATAACCGTATTCGAATGCATTAAATTTGTCATTCCGTTTGCAACTCCTCGAAATATTCACAGGAGACTCCACAAAGTATATACATATATTTTTGATCACCGTCGTCTGGCGGTCTACTGAAATCACGTTAGTGATCGCAATATTTAAGATAGAGCTCTGACATTTTGCACCGACATTGCTAGTGCTCCTAGGATGTTTGGTATTGCAAATGGCATATATCATAAAATATAACGAGTTTTGATACCGAATTTGGTTGTAATTTGGTATCCGCATATCCCTTTATTAATAATGTGGGGTATTATAACGGTACCCTTCAATATCCGATTTGTGGTTTCCCAACCGAATTGGTTGTTATCATTGTGTAGCACATAAAAATTATTAATATTGATCTTTTCATGAGTTATCGGTATTTTCGGAGATTTTGGACAAGTTTTCTAACCAAATTGGATGTAATTGGTATTTCGGGTTATCATTGCATAGCACATCTCCGTATCAACAATTATTTATATTGACCCAAGTTACAGAGTATACCCCATATATCGGTACCCTTTAATAGTCGGTATTTTGGGCAGGTTTTCCAACCGAATTGGCTATAATTTGGCATTTTGGGTTCTCATGGTATAACACATCTCCGTATCAAAAATTATTAATATTGACCCCAGATTCAGGGTAACCACCATATAATGGTACCCTTCAATATTTCCAACTGAATTGGCTGTAATTTGGTATTATGGGTTCTCATTGTGTAGCACATCTTCGTACCAAAAATTATTAATATTGACCCAAGTTTCAGGGTAGCCATAATTAACGGTACTCTTCAATATTCGGTACTTACGGGTTTTTGAGCAGGTTTTCCAATCGAATTGTCTGTAATTTGATATTTTGTATTCTCATTGTATAACACATCTCCGTAACAAAAATTATTAATATTTACAAAAGTTTCAGGGTAGCTTGACCCAAGTTTCTGGGTAGTTCCCCACATAACGGTATCCTTCAACATCCGATTTTTGGGGATAATGTCTCCAAACATTATCCAAACGAATTAGCTATAATTTGGTATATTGGGTTCATTGTTTTTGGTCAAAACCCAAACTTCCACCGATTTGAAAAGTATGAGGATTTTTCAATGTAGTATATATGAGACCCATTGTTCCCATACTTAATATAACGACCATGTATAAAAATTGCAACCATTTTATTGTAACTTGCAATTATTATCCTTCACTTTGCATTTTAAATGGAATTCTCACACACAGACAAAAAAATATTCCTAAGGCCCTCTCAACCCCCTTTTATATATCAGTGCTATTATAACGATATGTATATATGTATGTATGCAGGCGTTAGCTGCATATAAACTATGATTTGTAACATTTGCATGCATGTAGTACTTTTCACAGAAATATACATACATGTCGATGGATGGATATCTTTTGTACATATGTACTATGTATGCAAACTATCCTGGGTACATACATTTCAAAAACAAAAAATCAATAGTTTTTTTTCTCGTTAGTTTACAAAACGTTTCAGATCTGATTTACATTTAAAAAGGAAAGAAAGAGCGGGGTAATTTAGAAGAGCTTTTGATTTTTTTGCACAAAATAAAATTTAATTAATTTTAAAAACGTAATTAAGGTTGTTGGGTTTTTTAATTCATGACATGCACATTATTTGGATTTTTTCTGTTTCTTTCTCTATTACTGATGGAGTCATGCGGAATTTGAACTTGCAAGGAAAAGCAAACAAACAAACCAAAAAAAAAAAAAATTGCAGGTTTCTTTAAAACGTTCTCACATTTCAATATGTTTTTTTATTATTCCAAACTACTGACGACTGCTGCTGAGTTCGGGGATATGATTTTTGTGCTTTCTTCTTTGGCCTTTTTTTGGTGTGATGTTGGTGTACAATTTTCGCTTGGCTAACAATGTGAACAACCTTTTTCCGTTTGTTTGCCGCCTATGTATTATTTTCCAAATGACGTCATTTTTTCCACTTTATTTCTTTGGGTTTGTTGTTGGTATTTTTTACATTACTGGTGGTTTGTGGACTTTGTTTTTCGGGGTGTAATCCATAAATTATGTTCGGCTATCTATCTGCTATTTGTTTTTTGGGGTTAATTTTTATTGTTGTTTTTTTTTTATTTCCTTTTCTGGCTGTATTCCTTTTTATTCTTCTTGGCTTACTTCCAAAATGACGTGTTCGGCGTTTCTTTCCTGTAAACAACATTTTCCCAGACATATAATTTTTTTATTGTTTGCCAACACCCAAGGTTTTTTGTGGGGTTCAGGTGAAGAAAAAATTATTTTCTGGAGGTCTGCAAAGTTTATATAAAATGGATTAATTTATAAAGTTCAGGAATTAATTATAGACTATGGCTTAAAATGTCCTTATTTACATTTACCAGCTATAAAGGGGTTAATGGTCTGCATAAATATTCATTAAATTCATATGCCGGTCAGCTTGTTCGTTTTTAAAAAATGTTGTTTTTTGAGCAAATTAAGGGATTATTTCGGGTCTACTAGAATATAAGGATTTCTATTACTAACTCTCTTCTGTGCTACAAAATCTAATGACTAGCATTGACCAAATTTTAGTAAACAATATCGACCCTAACCCTGTGTATTTTTGTAGCTCAAAAACGTGGTTCTATGTAGTTTATATCAAAAAAATACTTACCATATGCTTCAATTCGCTCGTACCAAAAATTATTAATATTAACCCATGTTTCAGGGTTGCCTCTCCATATAACGGTACCCTTCAATATTCGGTATTTTGGGGATTTTTTACACGTTTTCCAAACGAATTGCCTATAATTTGGAACTTTGGGTTCTGATCGCCAGTCTGTCTTTCTACAAAAAATATTTTTTCTTTTGTTTCTCACACACACGTTTGAAGGTCAAAACGCCCTATCGACATTCTCAGTTAGACATGCAGCCGGTACACATGTACCCACCTACCTTAATGCTTTGTCTATGATTGTTAACGGTGCTATATAACAATTAGCCAAAAGCCAAGAATTTGCTAATGAGATATGGTCGCTCTGTAATTACTTATGCGGAAAATTATAAAAGAAACCAACTGAAAACCAATTTGGACAACAAGATACAAACCAACGACTACTTGCTGGTACAGTTAGCTTAAAACTCAAAGAAGACACCTACATCCATCCATTCAATTGAATATGAAACGAAAGAAAGACAGACAGACATGCAACCAGCCTCAAGATATAAACGAAACCGGCCGGTACTTTTTTTCGAATAGAGAGCAAGCAAGTGTAAGATAAAATGAATATTTATAAGATTTTTTTTTTATAAAAAAATGAATAATGTGGAAATTTGTGATTGATTTATATATATGTCTAAATATGGCCACATACACAGCATACTTGAAATTGAGTCATGTTTTTAATGACTGTCTAAATTTTTGTTGCTAAGTGAAAAGTACTTTTTTAAGCGAAAAAATATTAATTTTTGTATACACGATTATTGAATGTCATGGATAATAAATTCTGGGATATTTTGATAGCATGATTTAGCAGGTTAATTTAAATTTCCCCGACCTACCATAGCATTATTCGACATAATTGTTATCAAAGAAAATAAGGAAACCTCAAACCGTTTTTATTATATTAC